AGATGTGTACATACGCAGGCATATAAGGTGAAAGATAAATATATACCCGCGGTTCTAGCTTTGCGTGAAATTCTAAACAAAAAAAACATATATTACTTTTTTTTCCAAATCATTTATTTGCTGTTTTCATTTGGTGTACTACATTATTTCGTTTTTTTTGTTTTGTTTTTTTGTAATTACATTGTTAAAATTTGGGAAAATTCTAAATTAAATGTCAAAATTTCGACCAAACAATATCTATTTACCTGGCCGCGCTTCTTAGTTGCTATGTTATTTCACTGGGTTTGTATTTTGGCTGTTTTCTAGCTTTATATTTGTGATATTTTTTGTTGTTAACAGTTTTGTATTTCTGTATTTATTCGGAAAAGAAAAACAAGAATGCTTAACTTATAACTTGTTAATTTATTCTATTCTATTGCGTTTCTCAATGTTGCCTAGTACGGTTCAAAAATTATTTAACGGCTCGAAAATAAAAAATATACGTAAAATAAGGTTTTTACGTTTTAGCTAAAAATCGATTGTGCATTGTCAATATACCTATCTTGCAAAGTGTGTCGACAGGTTGTGTCTTAGAGAAATTCACAGGTATTTCTCTGAACGTTTAAGCTTAAAATAATACTAACATTATATATATATTAGGCCTGAAGTTAGGTTCACATAGAAGATTCAAACTTTCATTTTGCTACAAGTTTGTAAACCTAGCATAGTTACTATTCATGTTTCTTGACGATAGATGGCCAACATCAAGCGATTACGTCATAATGTGTTAATTTTCAAGACTGGAGTTGAAGTGTGTTTGTAATGTGGTTTAATTTAATAACCTCCTTTCAGCGTACGTGTGAAAACAAAACTAAAAGAAAATTTATAAATGAATTGTCATCACTCTGGTTTCGAGTACTTAACGATCACATGTTAAAATTATTTCGTAAGATTCATTGCTTTTGAAAGACATTATTAAGTTCAAATCAGATTAGAAATCAAAAACGTTTCTACTTGTAATATATATTACACATTTAATATATGTTTGTTATATCTAAATCGTCGGCTAATATATATATTTCACATATTTACTTCTGGCTCAGTAAACACATTTCCCATTCAGAACTGGAACTTGTACTTGTTTTCTGATCTTGAAATAGTTAGACAGTAAAATAAGTGCTCTACTGGATTCATGCCAAACGTCTCGTTTTTGTAAAAGTTGTTTGTTTTATTATGGAATGCTAATAAAACCCATTGTTTCTTGTCCATCTTTTACAGAAGTTGATCTAAACCTGCTTTACCGTCCAAGCTCCATCTATTGATAGGTTAAAGAATTCTGGGGAAAATAGCAGGAGTTGTCCTATACGTTTTGAAACATCACCTAGAGATAATATTTTAAACTATCTTATCTTTTTCGTCTTGGTACTCCAGAGAGCCACAAATCATTGGATAAAACAGTCTTTTTTTTATCCTTGATTATATATTATGACACAGTAAAGAACATTGTCGCTCCTTGTCATCATCACCATTAACACACGTTTGGTTTTACCCAATTTTCCGAAATTTCCTGGGGCCAGCCTACTAGACCAGCGACCAACCAGTTGAACTGAGCCAGCTGTTCTTTCACCGATGCGATAAATATAACGGAGAAGACGGACAGTGTTGGAGATTGCATGAGTCACAGTTATCCAGACAGTTCAGACACAGTGTCGCCCCAATAAGCAACCCTTTCTGTTCTTCTCTCGCTTCTGTGGGAGTACCTGAAACTAAAAACTTGGTGGATCGACTCGGCGTCATCTAGCCAACCAGACAGACAAACCTACCAAACCCGCTGTGCACGGGGCAGCCTTAACCCTTTCATTCCAGGTGTACGTGCGTGAAAGGCTCAGCGGTTTCAGCGCATTTCGAACGGCGTAGTCTGGTATTCAGTAATTCGTCTAGCCAATCCAAGTATTACAAAAAGTGGTCCTCGTCAGTTCGCCCCACCACACATCGCCGAAGCTTAGGTTTCTATCCCAGGCCAAACATTTAGCAGGGAGAGACTGCTACTACGTTCTTATCGCCCACTTGCCGGAATTGAAGGAGCATTTGACGTTGGAATTTGGAGGCTCCTTTGTGGTTTATTCTTCTAGAAGATTCGATGATTATGGCCATGGTAAACAACCTTCCGACGGTCAAAGACTCTCGCTGGCTGCAGCTGGAGGTTTGCCGAGAATATCAGCGAAACAAATGCACCAGACCTGACACGGAGTGCAAGTTTGCCCATCCACCTGGAAATGTGGAGGTTCAGAACGGAAGGGTAATTACGTGCTACGATTCCATAAAGGTATGACTATTTTTTTTTACTTACATTAGTAAAATATGAGTTATCTACAAGCCAGAACTTTAAAAGAAAATCGGATATTTTTAAGATTGTTATTTTTACCCATGTTCGACTTCTTAGTTTCTTATTTTTTTCAGTCATTTAAGCGTAATTAAACGTCATAAGTGTTTAACATCTTTATCCAACATTTAAAATAGTAATTATTCAAATAGGAAAAAAACACACCTGTGTAACCATGTTTCTAAATGTTTTATTCTAAAACTAAAAATAAAAAAAGTTACAATTTTGGGTGAATGATCGCGTATCCTGGAAGAATCATCATAATACTATTCACAAAATTAAATGACAAAAAGATTATTGATATTCACATGATTTTTTTCTATGCTTGTGAAACGAATAACTCGAGGTTTCTATTGTAATAATTTTTGACTTTGGAAAATCATAAGAGCAAGCATAAACCACAGTGACTGTAGGGTTTCGTTACAAGAAAGAGAAACTACTTGAGCTTATTATGATATTTGTACTCTGATGATAAATGTATTGTCAGCAAAGAGCGTCTGCTAGTTAAAAAAAAAACCCAGTAGAAGTGGAGTTATTGTTTGGTTTTTATACTCGAAATGCTATCGCTAATTCAGCTGGAGTCTCTACGTGTCTACATAGTGCTGTATGATATGTGTTGGGTACTTGGTTAAAGTCCATGTGATACTTTCTGCTGTTTGTTCTGTTTTCAAGAACCTCAACCACTTGTCAGGAATCTTATCATTTTATTCACGTGATCCTTTTATAGAAGAAGATCAAATTTAAATTTTGTAGACTGTAGTGGAATCTCCACGAGATTGCTATCTGAAATAGCAGGAGAAACTGAAGTCATAAAATAAACACGAGATTCAGCAACACTCCTACCGAATTACAATATAATGACAAACAATATTCATCACTAAGATAACCTAGAGCAACATGCGCACTTACTTTTACATTGCTTCAAAACTTGGCATAATTACTATACAATTAATGATAGTTACTGAGTGTAGTGATATTTCACTTGGTACGAGTCTTTTAGACGTAAAATGCTGTTTTTCCTAGAAACGCGAGACACGTTTATCTTTGTGATGGGGATTAGGACGCTCGATTCGCAATTTGCGGGACGTGGGTTCGAATCCCTGTCGCACCAAACAAGCTCACCCTTTCAGCCGTGGGGGCGTTCTAAAGTGACGGTCAACCCCACCATTAGTTGGTAAAAGAGTTGTCCAAGAATTGGCGGTGGGTGGTGATGACTAGCTGCCTTCTCTTTAGTCTTTCTCTGCTAAATTAGGGACGACTAGTTCAGTTAGCCCTCGTATAGCTTTGCGCAAAATTCAAAACAAACCACACCAAATCTTTGTGATGGATGTAATTTATAAATAAACTTAATTATATTTGAATCAGTATTGCTGTTTAATCTTCCATGTATTGGTTATTACAGATAATAAATTGTCATTACTGTTTTTGTGTATCATTTTTCTATCCAGGTAACGGTGTATGATTCTGTAATAAATGAATAGGTAAATAAATAGAAATGCGCGTTATTTTTATCTCCATGCTATTTACCAGTTTAAGCAACATCTACAGCTAGCAACCAATTAGGTCAAACTTAGAACGAATTATGAAATTTTATTTAAATTACAAAATGACTTTTCAAGCAACTTCATGACGGTACAAAGCAACGAAATAGTTCTTCGGGCAAACACGGCCATGACAACGAAGTAAAGTTAGAAGGGGTAGAAGTTTAAAAAAGTTAAGCAAATATACTACAAAATAAATAACTTCCCAAGCAAATAATACACAACTAAGTGTGAGAAGCAGCAACATGAGAAAGACACAACAACTTAATAATGCATTCTGATTACTCAGTTTATATAAACCTCTCTATAACTCGCTTTATTGTTTATTTTTGAATTTCGAGTAAAGCTACACGAGGGCTGTTTGCAGTGTAAGACTAGAGGGAAGGCAGCTAGTTATCACTACCAACCGCCAACTCTTGGGCTACTCTTTTACCAACGAATAGTGGGATCGACCGTCACATTATAATGTGCCCACGGCTGAAAGGGCGAGCATGTTTGGCGGACCGGGGATTCGAACCCGCGATCCTCAGATTGCGAGTCGAGCGCCCTAACCACCAGGCCATGCCGGGCCTAGAAATAGCTTAATCTAGCAACATGCTAAGAGATAGATGAACATTTTATATGATATTGTAATTCAGGTATGTGTAAGCATTTTTTCCTTGGTGGTTTTGAATACCGAAAAGCCCATTGCATCTATTTTATATATAGTACAGGTAATTTTATATCATTATTCAACTGGCTGCAACATGAGAGATTGGAACATTCTACATATTATGAGTAAACGTACATGTTTATGGGTTTGGTTCTGAAAATGATGTTTATTTTGGATTGGTTAAGAGGCTTATGCTTATGGTTTTGGCTATGGGATTTGGTTCTGAAACTGATGTTCCTGAGTTTGTTTCGGAGGTTAGCCCCGCTGTGGCTCGGCGGTAAGTCTGCGGACTTATACCACTAAAAACCTAGTTTTGATACCCGTGGTGGGCAAAACACAGGTATCCCATTGTGTAGCTTTGTGCTTAACTACAAACAAATAGATATTCCAAGGCTGATATTTATGGGTTTGTTTCTGAGGCTAATGTTTATAGATTTAGTTCTAAGGATGATGTTTTTTGGTTTGGCTATGAAGCTGATGTTTTGGGGTTTAGTTCTGAGGATGGTGTTTATGAGTTTGTTCCTGAGGTTGATGCTTATGGATTTAGTTCTGAGGATGATGTTTTTTTTTGGTTTGGCTATGAAGCTGATGTTTTGGGGTTTAGTTCTGAGGCTAATGTTTTGGGGTTTAGTTCTGAGGCTAATGTTTATAGATTTAGTTCTAAGGATGATGTTTTCTGGTTTGGCTATGAAGCTGATGTTTTGGGATTTAGTTCTGAGGCTGGTGTTTATGAGTTTGTTCCTGAGGTTGATGTTTATGGATTTGTTTCGGAGGTTGATACTTATGGGTTTGGCTCTGAGATTGATGTTTGTGGGTTTGGTTCTTAGGCTGATGTTTGTGGGTTTGGTTCTGAAGCTGATGTTTGTGGGTTTTGTTCTGAAGCTGATGTTTGTGGGTTTTGTTCTGAAGCTGATGTTTGTGGGTTTGGTTCTGAGGCTGATGTTTATGGGTTTGATTCTGAGGTTTGGCACTGAGGCTTATGGAAGATGAGCATATTTAATTGATTTTAAACTCAGTATATAATAATCCATTGTTGTTCTTTCTGATAAATATCAATAGGTTTGGCTCAGAGTTTCGTTTATATTATTGGAAGTTCAACAGACTACCAAATTTCATTGTCCGTTAATTATGTCCCGATGACTCAGCGATAAACTTGAGAGCTTATAAAGCTAAAATTCAGGGTTTGAGTCCTGTGTTGACAGATAGCCCATTGTGCACATTTGTGCGGAACATGAAGCAAACATGCTGTTTACTTTCTGAACAGTAAATTCGTTATGTGTTTATTAAAATTTTGTTCATTTGTTTCAGGACACTGATACCTTATAGAAAAAAAAAATCAGTGTTCAAACCCTAGCCGTGATCTTTTTAGTTGTTTGTTTGTTTTGAATTTCGCGCAAAGCTACACGAGGGCTATCTGCGCTAGCCGTCTGTAATTTATCAGTGTAAGACAAGAGGGAAGGCAGCTAGTCATCACCACCCACTGCCAACTCTTGGGCTACTCTTTTATCAACGAATAGTGGGATTGATCGCCACATAATAATGCCCCCACGGCTGAAAGGGCGCGCATGTTTGGTGGACGGGGACTCGAACCCGCGACCCTTAGATTGCGATTCGAGCGCTCTA